CCAACAAAAGCAGAAATAAGTTTGGTTTATCATTAATTTACAAGAAAGCTTTGTTTTAATAGAATATGTACTGCAAATTGGACACCACTTGATTTGAAAACTTCACGAGAATCAAAGTGGGAAACGTGGACACCTAGCATTGACTTTCGTACTTTGCAGATGCTTGGAGGTGTTGCTTGTAAGAAGACCACTGTTGATCTAACTTGTAAATAATTTCTTTAAATTCAATAGAACGTTGTAATATAGTATTTTAATTGTCGATTCTGTAGGTGTAATATCATTCAACAGGCAATGGATGGTGAGAGGATAAAGCCATGTACATGTCATGCGATGGTTCTTGAAAACACCTGCTGTGATATATAAAATACAAGCGTTAACTTGAATATAATACCTTAGATGGCCACATATGGATGAAAGATAGAATGTCTCTTAATAACTATTCTTTACAATACAATTTACAATCACACGAAAGGCAAAGTTTGAATTTCACTGTTGAAAAAGCAGCAGCTTTGGTAACAAGAAAAAATTTCATATTGACAAATTCTATTTAAGGTAGACGATTGAATAAAAAGGTTAAAAACAATATGTAGGAGCTATCATCTACATTTACTGGTAATCTCAAACACAAAGACAAGATCAGGTTACCAGCCAAAATGGCAGTATTAACATCTTGGCTGACTGACACTTAACATAGATCAAAAGACCTGATGCAGACATGAAGGGACAACTGGGGACACTTGAAGTGAGGGTAGCTTTAAGCTTTCAGTGGGAAATAAAGATTACAAGGGACAGGAATAAAGAAAAAAAGACAGGAATTCTCTGAAGGAAAAGAAGAAAAATTAGGTAGAGTTGGAGGGTGGGTGAAAGAAGCAAGAAAGAAAGGGGTAAAGGAGAAAAAAGGATAATAGTATAGGCAAGAGTAGGGGAAGGTAAGTGGGGGGTGGAAGGGGTGGGAGGCAGGGGAAAGGTAAGTGGGGGTGGGAGGGGTGGGAAAAGTAAGTGGGGGTGGGAGTTGGGTGGCAGGGGAAAGGTAAGTGGGGGAGGCAGGGGAAAGGAAAGTGTGGGTTGGAGGCAGGGGGGAAATGGATAATACATCCTAAGAAATGGTAAGTAAAGGGGATAGAAAGAGATGTAGTGTAGAGGGACACAGGTACTAGGAAAGGGTAGAAACATGTACTTTAATGTTGAGAATGGGAAGGCAGTGATAGGGGAGAAATAGGTTTGGAGGGAAATTAAGGACAGAACAGTGAGGAGATGAGAAGGGATATGGATATCAGGGGTATTATTGTAATTGAGAGAGAAATAAAACACTGGGAATATGAAGGGACAGTGGATGAAAGAGTAGGAGAGAGATATGTGCTTTCAGGAGAGGGGATTGGGGAGAAGCACAGGGGTCAGCTCATGTAAACAGGAAACACTAGTTAACCCTATAAAGAATTCTGTAATCGACTGTTGAAATATGACATTTCGTATAATGAAGAATTATTTCTTCCTGCTAACATAGCGGTGTCATTGTCATTAATCTTGGTTCTAGTCTGCATCTAGTGACTGTCACACTAACTGCCAGACGAGACTGTCTGATTAATAGTGTAATCAGTTTCTCTCCAACTTTATCAATTTCCTTAATTGCTTGCAACAGATTGGTGATAGAAATTAAAGTCTTAGCTCCCATCATGTATGATTCAACTTTTCATTGTCTGAAATTTAATCTGCAATGATCAGGCTCCCCATTGTTTGGCATTGTAAAAGTGTTTGTTTACAGTCAACACTTCCAATCTTCTCTCGAAAATAGTTACGTAATAAATCAGTTTCAACATACGTTAGGGGATATAAATGCAAAATTACTTTTTATCCACAGTTTTCATTATTAGAACCAAAGTTTTGCCAGAATACTTAAAAGAATATTTCAGTTCTTTGCACATTAATCTGATGAAGTGTTGAAGATATGTGTTACGATAACTACAGAGTTACACAACCTAGTGTGTCTTATGAGAGCAACTTTTCATTTTTAACACTGCTGTCAGCAACTATAAGACCCAGCTCCCGGGGAAATGGGCCGATAGATGACAAATACTCGAGAATTCCACCAAATTACTGGTGATGATGATGATAATGATGATGATGATGACGATGATGATGATGGGAGCCTGAAAACTCCCTGGGAAGTTGGGGACAACAGCTTTCACTTGTCTTGTACTTAAACTTGTAACGTTTGACATTTAAACAGGCATACATCAGCAGCCCCGTAGTATTTAGGAAGGGTTATTATCCACCAATGGAATATTAGCCTTCTGGTTTTAATGCCTTATCTCACTACGAACAATTCATGTTATCTTAGCATATTTTGGATCAAATCCCAAGCCTTGGAGAAAATGGACCAATTATTGTCACTCGTAAAGCCTCTCGTTTCTCAAATTATATTATTAGATATATCATAGAGGGGAAAATTGGCCCTCACTCTCAAGGAAATTGACTGCTGGAAAAACGATTATTGCAAGGAAAATTTCATGGCCAATTTAGACATAATGTAGGAAGTACCAATAGAAGAATCACAGACATGTAAAGGCTATGTAAAATTGTCCATAATATACGATGTAATGAATTGTCATATGGTGACAGCGAGTTTCAAGGGTTTTATAAGGATGATAGGGGACAGTTGACCCTGGCTTCTGTCGATTGGCAGTCGTGTGCATGACAGAAACAGGCAAGCAAGCCGAAAATTATTAAATATCCTTTGTTATAGAATTAGACATCCCATAGTTATAAGTGGTTGTATCAAAATAAAAAGGTTAGATGAAATACGTGTGTCAGTTGAATGCATGACCAAATATAGAAAATACTGGCAGTTGGTTCATTTAGTTTGTGACTAATTAAAGATGCTAGTTGTGAAATTTAATAAGGTTTGAATATAAATCATTTACAGGGCAAAAACATGATCTTGTCACAAAGCAGAAAAGGATCAGAGTCTGTGAATCGGATACTGTGATGGTACAATAGATTTATGTAATATTATATTGTACTGGGTATCCAGGAATCAGTTCTCTATAGCTCTCAACACGCTACAAAATATCTTTTTGTCTTTTTTCTTTTTTATTAAAGATGGATAGTATAACCAGTATTATAGAAGTAATTACCATATTTCATGAAAAGCAAAGTTAATTTTTTGGTTAATTTGTGTCGTAATCAATTCTGCAATCTACCACAGAAAAAAAGTTTGGTTACTGTATAATCGTTAATTTTCATGGGGAGTGTATTTTTGTTTAATTTGCGGGCATTCTAAATCCAGGGGTTGATATGTTCAAAAAATGAAGAACAGATAAATGTTGACATAGCATGATGAATTTTGTTAGCAAGTCTTATCCACCAAACCAAATGCAAGTAAAATGGTTATTTTGGGGAAGCCACGAAATTTTAGCCATGCAAAAATATGATTTTTCAGTACTCATATTTTCAACCTTTAATCTGATTTTTATTTTTCTCAAAATGCTTAAACAGTTTTTATAATTTACAATTTTGATAGACCAGAAAGATGAAGTTTTGGTATATTAGTATGTAATTGGTATTGAATACTTTGTAATCAATTTTTTGTACAAAGCCAAAGACTTTGATTTATCATGAAAAACTGTCAATATAGAATTCATTTAAATGCTATGAAATCATGAAAGTAGATTCCAATACTTAAGGTAAATCTAAAAAATGTACTTTAGGTTATCAATCAGCTAGCATCAAAACATTTGTTATCAAATAATGAGTTTGTCAACAGGCAACCCTATCTCTGTGTGGTCATGACTAAACGCTTGGCTGCACTCGACTCATCAAAAAAAAAAGCTACACATCACACAATTACTTGTCTTGGGACTATCTTTCATGGACATTCTAATTTCATCAGGTTTTGATATTTTTTTTTCTCAATTATGACGGAAAAAAATTGATAATTTATAACACATTGATGTATAGGATGTAACAGTGTCATTTTAACAGGTATCATTGGAAAATGATTTTTACCTGGCCTTGCGCGATTGTTGTCAAGGAAATCTGATTCTTGTCCATCAAGGCGATGACTCGATGTGATCAGTAAAAGGATGCGAGATCTATTAATATTGGTTCATACTCTCATAAATTGACAAATCAAATTAAGTGTATAGATTGGCGATGTTACATTTCATGTTAAAAAGACATCGTACCAATTCATGTTTAATTGGCAAAAATGTTATTTGTTTAAATTGGAGTTAAACTAATGTTAGGAAAAAAGAATTGCCTTGGCTTACCGAAAAAGGCAGTGCAAGGAGAATATTAATAATTCATTTTGAAATATTCCATTTTTCCAGATAATTGGAATGATTTAATGAATTGTGAAGGAAAATTCCACATTGAAGGAGAACTAGTATTAAGTAACCATCATCAATAATTTAAACGCTAATGGTAACTCGGCTTGCTGGTCAAATTAGACTGATTTGTTATTCTTTGTCAATTTTTAACATGGAATTTTTTTTTCTACTTATATTCCACTTCCTTGTATCGTGTAACTATTGTGAAAATGTAACTTATGTTTCTGACAAACATTCTGCCATCGGCGACGTTTACACCACATCCTTTCATAACACCAAGCGCTCGTGAAATGACTGTTTTCCTTATAATCTTAATGAAGCACCACATCGTTTCCTATTAAGTATAAAATGGTTTTCTCAAATGGATATTCCTGATAATTGTTAATGTACTCTTGAAATTAATCGGCCATTTCTCCCTGGATGATAAAAGAATCGAGATGAGAGAGAATCGCCAAGCTGCTAAGTAGTTAGATATTAATAACAAGTGGGATATAGGGAAATCACTGGGCTACACAAATGAGTTGTGGGTTGGTAAGGCTCGGCGACCATTGTGGGCGTGGCAGCTACATTAGGGAAATCTCTAAGGCAATGGCAGCCACAAGATTTAGTTAAACACCTTTCTCTCAATCTTGTGTAATCTGATAATGGTGGATAGTTTGGCGCTTAATCGGAATGAAGCAAGCTCAGAGTGACAGCTGTCGAGCAAGCCTCCATTTTCAGCCTGCTAGCCGTCACCACCGATTGGCAAGTCAGTAATTGCTAGCAAGTGACGTGTAATTTTCTTGTAAAATGGAGATTTGTCTTTTAAAGGAGTCAATTTAGGGACGGGAAGCTTTAAGTGGTGTCGGCTGTAATTGTCTGCTATTATCATTTTTAACAATATGGTTCCTTCAAAACAGCAAATTAAAATCTGTAAACTGCTTATCACCTCAGAGTTGGAGGTGACGAAGATGAAAACAAGTATATGGTTTTAAAAATAAACTTCCTTTCATCATTAAAATGCACTAAAATAACGATTAACATTTTAGTACTGAAAGTGTGAATCAGGAGTAGACAATCTAACTTTAATCTCATACAGATTTTTGAAATTTCATTTTATTAATTATAGGTGGCACTGGAATTAGGAAACATTTTGAAAAAATCTATCAAGATAACAGCTTTAAGCTTTATTTTAGGCTTAGTGTGATTTTAAACATAGTTATGTAAGCAAAATTATCTACTGTTACATACTACAGTATCTATATCAGCTGTTTACATGTTTTCTCGTTAATCAGTGCAAACAATGAAGTTGTGTAATCCATTTTGTGTATTATCTATCATATCTATGTATAAATGACGTGAGATTTATTCAAAGTAACATGGTTGATGATTTAAAGTTTTATGAAGAATTAGAAAATGAAAATGTATTGATCACATCATTTAAGTTATAAATCATTTAACAGCTTTTAAGTGGAATGACATGCAAATTATCATTTTTTTAAAGATGGTTCTTGAAAAAGTTAGGAAAGTTAAGTAAAATTCAACACATTTAAATTATTTTTCTAGAGAAGCTGACAATGCTTCTGGTTTCTGATTTATATCTAGAGGGAAGTACTGTTAGCAAAATGTTTATCTAATTTCCAACTGTTTACTTTCTCTTTATCTATTGTTCAAAAATTATATGTTTTAAATAGTGTGGAAACTTCAGTTTACATTTTGACAAGTTGAGCTGAAGTTAACAAAAAGATAAACATGACATTCCAGAATTTTGTTTTTTATTGGGGGGGGGGGGGGGAATACCATAGATCTCACAATGACAGGGAGGTACTTTTTTAGTGGGGGGGGGGGGGGGGGGGGAATACCATAGATCTCACAATGACAGGGAGGTACTTTTTTAGTGGGGGGGGGGGGGACAAAATACCATTGATCTCACAATGACAGGGAGGTACTTTTTTAGTGGGGGGGGGGGGACAAAATACCATTGATCTCACAATGACAGGGAGGTACTTTTTTAGTGGGGGGGGGGGGGACAAAATACCATTGATCTCACAATGACAGGGAGGTACTTTTTTAGTGGGGGGGAGGGACAAAATACCATAGATCTCACAATGACAGGGAGGTAAACTCTTACATGTAGTCTTTTTTTCTTAAAATAAATGTCATCATTGCATTTGTTATGAAGTGAATTGAGAACCTTGGAGTGTTGGCATAACCTACAATATCACCGGGGCTGTAATACAAATATTTGTGTAATTAAAACAAAACATTGAAATGGGAAAGATGGTTTTAGATACAGAATCAACAGTCCTCAGTTGTAAATCACTGGGAAAGTATGCAGCTTATAGGATTCTATTTGTTTAAAGTTCACACATCGTGTCTGAGTAGTGTACACATTAGAAAGGACAATAGCAAGAACGGGAAAATAACTGCCCACAAAAAAAGATATATATATATACATATATTGTGCAGTGAGTATTATATTTCTACCAAATTTTGTCATATTTTTGACATTTTGTCTGGATTCAATACACTAAAACAAGAACGAATGTCTTTAAATCCATACATCAGTAAATCCATACATCAGTAAATCCATACATCAGAAAATTCAGGTGTCAGTTGACTGAAGTGTCTAAAAATTCAGGTGTCAGTTGACTGAAGTGTCAGTTGACTCAGATGTCTAAAAATTCAGATGTCAGTTGACTCGGATGTCAGTAAACTGCAGTGACTCAGGTGTCAGTAAATCAAGATAACAGTTAACTAAGTTGTCATTGTAGGGAGGTTCTGACATCTTTCTTTAATCACACCAATAGGTTTTATCCTAAACACTATAATATACTATAATACTGAGGTGACGTTTCATGAAATATTTCAAGGTATTTACATTTCAGCCTATGTATACACAAAGTCTTTAAAGTCAGATTCTGTAAAATATCACAGATTCTTTACCCTGCGTTTTCTGACACACTGTCTTGTCCAACCTAAAATTTCATCCCTATGCTATTGTTGAATAGGTGCAAGCTTTCATGGAGTCAGGTTTCACTGTACTTGGAATACAAGTACATTTGAGTTCACATAGGGTAACCATACAGCCTTCAACACCAGGAAAAGTATATAGGGCATAGCAGTTATTTTGGTTCAGATTTTGGAATTTTCTGTATTTACATGATTTTTATTATCTGTGTAATTTCTAAGTGATGTCATTTACAAGGCATGCCAACAATCTTAAAGGTGGGTATTTGGGATTAGCCAGCTGTCTGACCAGTCTAGCTGGAAGGACCTTAATACATCTGATGTGTAATTAGGCCTATTGGCCAAGCTAACAAGAAGTGTGACAATGTGTAGGTTAATTTGAATCAATAGGCTTAATCTTGAGGACGGTTAATTAAGCCTCTTCGATGTCAACAGTCTCTAACTTATAAGACAGATTAGTTGCTGGCAATGATAGCTTAGATGGCTAATTTGTCCGAGTGTGATATTTAGTGACAAAATCCTTGTACATGCGATGCTCCACTCTTTGGAGATCGCCAACTTTTTAAGGCGTTTCAGAAAATAAATGTCAATGGTATGAATAAGCTAACTGGAGTCACCTGGCGTGCAGTGATGACCTAAGTTTTTAATCTTATTTACTCTGGGTATTATAGCGTGGAGAAAGCCGACCTAGAATGATTTCATCCTCTCGACACAGAAAACTGTCTGTAGGGATGACTTTCAAGTATTCTATTTATTTACTATTGTTGAAAGGAACATACATGTATCCAAACATTTACGCAGTTAAATAATCGTTTCTAAAGGAATGATGTAAAGACAGCTTATTTCCTCTCTCAGTACACAAATGTACACTACAGGCAGTATTTATGTATACTTTAGACTTTTTACAAAACAATCTTGAAAGTGTGCAGTCAAGCCATATTGAGACAGTTTTTACTTTTTTGTCTCCAATAATTATCTCTGATGTATCACATAGTTTCTATTTCATTTATAAATGTTTGCAATAAATTCCAAAAGTCACAGTAATTTTATTGTAGTAATTATAATTTTCTATTTCAATTCATTGCATTATGAAACAAAACAATGGATTACAATGATTATAAACAATATTTTAAGTGTATTCCTGACCATCCCTCCCTTTCCCGTCCCTCCCCTCTCCTCCCCACCTCTCCCCCTCCCCTCTCCTCCCCTCCCCACCTCTCCCCCTCCCCTCTCCTCCCCTCCCCACCTCTCCCCTCCCCTCTCCTCCCCTTCTGCTCTCTCCCCTTTACCCCATACTGCTTCCCATCCATTCATCAATTCAATTCTATTTTGAGTTTGATTCAGTAAATTCTTTAGTGCTTGTGGTTGTTATGGGAAATAGAGAGACAAGTCTCTTAAGAGGGGGTGGAGTTGTTATTGACAGGCGACACATGTCATGAATAAATTATGTGGGCAACTGAAAGCTTGTGTCGGCCATATTGAAGGAATAGAGATTACGTATTGAAAGTTTTGAGTGGTCAATAAAAAAAAAAGGATAAAATTTCACTCAAGTATATAGTTAGCTAGTTTGGGCAGTTAACACAAAATTTTTGCGAGGCTGTTACCAGTGAGTGTAAAAGTGGAATATAATTTTTGATATCAGATTAAAAATTCAATACTGTCTTTTAATTAAAGAATTGTACATACTAATAAAAAAAGGAGTTTTGTCTTAATTTCATAAAAATTTGTATATTTTCAGGGAATTTTTCTACATTCAAATGGAGAAATACGCCCGACAATCAATTGGTGAAGGATGCAAACACCCAGATGACCTTAACGTTACAACTGATTCTGAACTTTACCGTGTCCTAAATCTGCACTACAACCGCAACAACCAGATTGAGGTACGCAGCCATGGCTTTAATTCGCAAACAACTTTCCATGCCACTGGGCGGATACAAATTTTTTTTTTCAATTGCCAAACTCTTCTATCGCTATTGCTTGCTTTTTATTGTATTTTATCATTTAAATCACACTAGCATAAAGCACTGAAGAAGACACGAAAACTATCTGTCGGCAGTGAAACAAAACATATTGCCGGAGTAGGATGTTCAATGAAAGTTGGAATTGTCACCTTGTGTATTGTGGTGTATTAGACAGTGGCAAAGTCACTGATGACAGTCCTTGTCTCTGTAACATCTTGCAGGAATTTCAGTCTCCATACTATCAAGTCGACAGTCTTGAGGGAACCGTACGATAGATTGCCGAATGACATCTAATTAATTAGCAACACACTCAAAAAGGGATTTCATTGCATTTGTCAGTAAGTTGTTCAAATAAAATTGACACATAGAGCGAGCGCAGACTTCGACCATGAATCACCTCCCATGCAAAAAGAGTTCCACTTGGACGTACAAACACGACACTTTGTGGTCCCGCCTTGCTTAGTGTTTATTGAAAAGCATTAGCTTCTAACGAAACTCTCATCTATAATTGATATAGCACTCCCATGATGCAACTTTGGTAGTGTCTATAACTTCTGTGAAGAAATTTCATATCAACCTACGGACCCTTATCAATATCCAAATTATTACTAAGATGATACAATTAACTAATGCCTGTTTACTTCAAGTATATTAATATTGCTATCTGTAACCCGTGGGGAATAACTTTTCAATCTACTTGAAAGACTCGGTGCTGTGGCGTGGTGGGGTTGACTAGGGTAGGGTTCATCTTATCCTTTGTTACATTTATTTTCCTCATTTGGCGTCTCTTGAGACTCGCCATGATACAGCACCAGCCCTGCTCTGATGGGAGAGCCGATATTTCTCAGACAATAATTACAGTGAGATTTTATCATCAAATACCTAAAAATGTATTTGTCATACACCAGAAGAAATGATCAGGAACCGAACCGCAGACACAATTAATTGGATTGAAGTTGGTGTGTTAGCTTGTTCTAGAAGACAATGTCAATATGACTGCATGCGGAAAATGCTCACAGAAATCACTTTGATACCTCCCGAGGGACACTCCAGAGTCTGAATATGGACTTAATATGTATACAATGTAGGGGGAGACAACCTATCAGTGTCATCGTTCTTAATGCATTCTTCGAATCTTCATGCTAGGCTTATTTCATATTGGCAGAAAGTGACATTAAAATGTCATTCATTTTTTCTGAATTTCTATAGGGATGTTGTCCACCTATGCCGAACTATCTCTCTATCAATACAACACACTTTGCTTACAAATAGCTGTCATCAGCTTTGTTCACTGGCTCCAAATGGTTCTACTGTCGTATTCTGCTTTATTAATTTGGCACGATAGTGAGATTTTGCTGCCTGATGTAAATGGCTGCCTGATCAAATGGATTCTGGGTGCTGATTCCTCATCCGATCAGCAGGCAAGGAATTGTCACTTGCCTGACCGCCCGAGCGAGCAGACGGGCGATGAAGCAGCAGATGCTTTTATACATCCGTTCTATCTGCCGTGCGACTTGTGAAGCCCTTCCCATCTTCATCTGATGAATGGTCACTCGGGTGTGTACAGGACTCCTCATGTTTTATTCGTGGTAAAACGAGAGAGAGATCGGACACAAAGATAAGCATGCGTCAACACCTTTACCAACTTACTGATGGTCATTAAATACCTTGTCAACCAAGCGTGACATATTTTGAGTGTCTCGGTCTATCATAAGATTCTGATCTATGGACAGATAATTGTTAGAAATATGGTGACCCATATCTCTATCTTAGAATATTGACTAATTTCTTTCATCATTTCTCTGGTGTAAACAGAAATAGTGTAATTTTGTAGGTAGACGTCAGTACACTGGATTGGATAAATATGTTTGTAATATTTTCTGTTTTACTGTGTCTACAACAAGAGGTATACAGATCTGTTACTGAACAAGTTAAGACTGGATGTTTGGTTGTAAATACAACAATATCCCATGCTAAATTGTCTGATTAGTATTAGTTTTTCTCAACAGTGAAAAACTCTCTATACACTCCAGCTCCAATGTCTTTTCTGGCTCTCAGTGATGGTCTCATTTCAATATTGCATACTTTTAGATCCGTTATACTATAGACACTGTAGCCTCAATTCATATCCTACAGTTGGCGCAGGCAAGCAGAATGTCACGGATTACAATTTGTCCATTTCATGTGATACCATCAGTTACACAATATGAGAGGTCAGCGTTTCTGCTCTTTGGGAGAAGGGGATTTGAAACTCTATTACAAGGAATTTTCTTTGTGTTATAAAAGGTCCATTTTGTATGTGAATTTCTTCACTACTGATTGGCTTTTGGACAAACGGTCTGTCAGAATATGAGAAATTAGCATGTTGATGTGCTAAGTCAACGGATGGATGTCTGCTTCACCATCTTATGTGAAGTGAAGAAGACGTAATTCGACTTAACTTGTCACAGCCTTGTTATGTTATATTGGCAAGAAGATTCCGAGTAAATCCTTCTTAACAGGGAGAAGGAATGCCAAGTCAGAGAGCTTAGGTATCTTAATGACAGTTGTGCAAATCAGTGGGCTTACGAACCGCGATACGGACTCGTACTCTCATTGGGGGATTACCGGGGAAAGTAAAATAAAGCCCCTGCAGACATGCAACTGTCTTGCTCTGCGACTATAAAAATTGTTCCATCAATTCTTGTATTCTACCGTTCTGTACCGTGGATGTATGTAGTCAAGTTTATACGCTGTTAACGGTATAAAGTGGAAATATAGGACTTCATCAGTTTTTTTTTTATTTCTGTCTTATCTATATATATATATATATCAGTTTTTTAAGAAGCTGACTCACTTGTTTCTTTAAAAGTTTACCTGTAAAGTACACACACATTTGGTCAATGTTTAAATAAATTATATTGGAGCAAAACATCCCAGGATTTGTTGTGTACTTTTAAAGAATCACGCCAAAAGTTTATGTACCTATAATCTGCTTCATCTGTTGTAGGTTCCAGAGAGTTTCCGTATGGTGGTGCAGGCAACACTTCGTGAGTTCTACAAATCCATTGTGGCTAATAAAGACAGCGAACCCTCCTGGAAGAAATCGATCTACAAAGTGATAGCACGCCTTGACGACACTCTCCCCGAGTATTTCAAGTCACCAAACTGGATGGACCAACTTGGGGATATGTGATTGCAGGAAAAATGTTTGAGGGTCATGTGATCGATGACCATCATGGCAGCAGTTTTGGGAAATGTGATCACAATCATGACTGCAAGTCTTGGTCATGTGATCAGTGACTGCCATGGCAACAGAGAACTTATGATCACAGTCAATGCAGCAGGGTCAGGTCATGTGATCAGTGATAGTCATAGCAACAAATGTAGACAGTATGTGACCGTCATCATGGCAACAAACTGGGGGGTGATGTGATCAGTGACTATGATGACAACAGGATTGTCAGTTGTCATGACAACATGTTACAGTTGTCATGGTTACCACTTTCTTATCGCACATGGACAAGGTTGTGATAACTTTTAGAGATGGGTATCTACAGACATTTATTTGTATGTATTCATTTAGCATTACACATTCCTTTACAAAAAATTATATTAATAAAAAGCAAGAATGTTTGTTTATTGTAACCTGAAACCAAAAATATCAGGACAGTATAATCATTCCTTTCATATTTCTTCACATTTTGAACTTAGCTTATGGAACAAAACATTCAGCAATTTACATTATTATGGAGACAATGGACTGAATTTAATGACAGAGATTCCATTTTATAAACTGTTTGTTATTTTTTGTTTGTAAATACACAGGAAACTTTTATATAGAATTAAGAAAAGTGAAGCCTTTTTAATGATGAGTCACTGATCAAAGTTGGAACAAGATTTGGAGATTTTGTTTAAACTCCAGAATCAGCATTGCAGGGATGCATAGGACTTATTTTTTGCCAATATTTGCATTCTTTTTACATGTATATATGCATATTTAACAACATTCCTTTATTTCTACAAACACTTAGCCCTTGAATCGTTATTTCAAAATACTATTGATTTTGTTTAGATCAATAATCAATATTTGTGTATATCAGTTCTTATCTTTATAACCGTTTTGATTTTTGTTTCAAATTTCCATAAAAGAATATATATACTGTTTAAAAGTTGAATTTTGATAGAATAAATGAAGATTGATAAAAATTTCATTAAAGTACAATTTATGATAATACTGTAGAAAAAAATTAAAATTAAGAATGAATCTTTCTATTTTACAAAAGAGTTTATTACACTTGCAGAGAATGACATTTTGTATGTAGGTAAATATATAGATGTGAATTCTTGTGGTTCATGTATGTATGTGGATGGTGAGAGCTAAGTTACATTATCTAAGTTGTTTTCATATTGAAAATGCATGAGATACCTGGTATCTATATTTCTGATGAAGGTCACTGCCCCCGCTACATCTTCACCAAAGTATACTTGTTAACAAACAGTGCTCACTTGTATCTGTCTACAAACAATTACCTAGTCAACCTGTTTAGATATTCTTTAATAACAAGTTTTCTTGTCATGTTCTGATATGTTAATCGTCCTAAATGAACCCTACAAAGGGTTGATATTGATTATACACCTGTAAAACGCTGTCATTTTTACCTGTCTCCTCATCAACATTAAACACCACCTGCTGCTTGAGATGTATGCCTTGAAGGCCTAGAAGTGGTAACAGTCGGCCCAGTAAGACAATTTATGTCTGAATCGACAGTGTGACAGTGTGGTTCAATGTTTTGATAACTTCATCACAACTTATGCTGTTGATTTCATTTGAGAATTTCAAATATGTATTTAAAAACAAGACTGTTGCATGTATCACATTCCAGATAAACCTTCAGCTGAAGATAAAAACTTGTATGATATTTGTAAATTTTAAAAATGATTTTCCGAAATATCATTAATTATAAGTTTTATTATTGTTTTGATAAATGATGAGTTTGGAAGAAGTGTCCCTGGTGTATGATATCCAGTATGATGGGTTTTGTGTAGATACAGAAAAATCTAGTATATGTGTTATACACCGGTAATTAGATGTCCATGATCTATAACCATGTTTGTTACCATAGTCCTCCGTATTATTATATTGTTACATTTTTTTTTATTTTTTTTTTTTTTACTCGTGTCAAATCACAGGTAAGATATTATATTCCTCCCAGGTCTTGTATTGTTTTTTTCAATTCCAGTCATTCCTGAAGTATTCTACAATCTGTCTCTCGTCTACAATCAAAGAAATCCATAAAAGTGCAATTTACTTTCACTTGACGTGTTATTTTCATCTCAGGTGGTGCAAACCAGGTATGACATCTTTGTTTCTAACATTCAAGGAGCCTCGTTTACATAATGAAAACATGCCTTGTAATAATTTGTTCCATTTTGATGTTAAATAATGTTGGTTTGAAAAAAGAATCTTGTATAAAAGTGAAACTGGTATAAGTCAGATAAAGACACAGTGGAACTGGTATAAGTCAGATAAAGACACAGTGGAACTGGTATAAGTCAGATAAAGACACAGTGGAACTGGCATCTGCTGTTCAATACAATATATATACTTTAATGTCTGTCAAATCTATGGAGTTCATAAACCTGTCAATTGTGAATAGAAATTTAGTCAATATGAAAAACCTTTTAAACAGGTTTTATCTCACAAATGAAAGTCCGATTAGACAGGTTTTACCTCACAAAAGAAATTCCGATTAGACAGTTTTTGCTGCACAACCATATTTCATGAAGTCCGATCTCCAGTTTATAATAGTAGGTCTATAGTGTATGTTCTTACTGCTATACTGACCCAGTAATAAGCCCATGCCTGCTAAACTCTCAACATCTGTTGCTAATCAGTAGAATTACAAGCAAATAATACTTCCTTGTCATTAAGTCTGCCCCTGACACAATTTGTATATTAGCGCCCCCTGTTCGGCTTTTTGCTGAATAAAAAGGATAAAGTGATCTTACACCGTTGTTTGTGGTGTATGATAAACCCATTCCCAAAAACAGTCTGTTACTATTAACTTTATATAATACACTGTTCATCATAATGTTCTTTATTTATTTTTTCTGTTCAATCCTCTTTGCCATAGTGCAACTAATTCAAATTAAAAATCATTCAGAACTTTTTTTATATGTAATTGTTGACCTTATGAACAATTTTTACCTTTTCTACAAATATCCCGACACAATTATACACCATTTGTAGTGTTTTCTACCCAATGTAAATGTAGCTTTTGTCATGCTGGTGTAAATATTCTATAAAAAAAATTTTAAAAACTCAACAAAACTTTCGACCAATCAAAACCTCTATAGTCTCCTACAAAGTCTGGCTTTCATTCTTACTGGTCTCTATTTTTATACGCACTGGTTTTACTTGTTGTTGTATCATTCTTTGTTTGTATCACTGTTTAAAATCAACAGATATCAAATGTTTAATTTTATCAAACTAATTGCAGTTATCTACAGCTAAATTTTAATTGTTATTGATCAAAAGAATTTGCATAATTTTTGGAAATTTTGTGAAAATGGAAAAATATCCATTTTAAAATGCATAAATATTGTGAAATCATTATAGATAGTGATTTTTTTTTCTTTTTTTATTTATTATTAAATATTGTTTTACTTGATACTCAGTGTAAATGATTGTCAATACCACCTCCTAATAAACCTAGTCATGTTACGTTGAGATTAATGTACCATTTACAATGTATGTGGTTCACCTGTATTATTTTTTGTTTATTTATTGCTCTGTATTGTAGGTAGTGGTTTCATTTTACATATGTTTTGTATAAGATAGATTGATTTAGAAATGAGCATCCCAATCTTTTACAGTCAGTAATACTGAAATGATGTCTGGGCGTGGATGAGAGTCAAATGCTTTAATTAAAATGCATATTTTTTCTCTGTTTATTGAAATTTATATACAGTATAAAATTATTGAATAAATCTATACAATTGAAAAGAGTGTATTTTGTTTTGTTTTGTTTTTTTGTTTGTTTTGTTTTAAGAATGAAATTTTCTTAATCCATCATAAAATTATTTACAAATTATCTCTCATGTTTTCGTACAAACTGTCGTACTAACCATTGACTATACTGACATTCTGTGCAATCAAAGAAATATTCACAACAAAGCTAATGATGTATATTACGACTTTCTGTATATTATAACAGGATGACCATGAAATTATACCACCGGGTGTCAGATTAGACAGGTTAATCCTACCACAGGGTGTCAGATTAGACAGGTTAATCCTACCACTGGGTGTCAGATTAGACAGTTTAATCCTACCACAGGGTGTCAGTTTAGACAGGTTAATCCTACCACTGGGTGTCGGATTAGACAGCTTAATCCTACCACTGGATGTCAGTTTAGACAGGTTAATCCTACCACTGGATGTCACATTAGACAGGTTAATCCTACCACTGGATGTCGGATTAGACAAGTTAATCCTACCACTGGGTGTCGGATTAGACAGTTAAATCCTACCACTGGGTGTCAGATTAGACAGTTTAATCCTACCATTGGGTGTCAGTTTAGACAGGTTAATCCTACCACTGGGTGTCAGTTTAGACAAGTTAATCCTACCACTGGGTGTCAGTTTAGACAGGTTAATCCTACCACTGGGTGTCAGTTTAGACAGGTTAATCCTACCACTGGGTGTCAGTTTAGACAAGTTAATCCTACCACTGGGTGTCAGTTTAGACAGGTTAATCCTACCACTGGGTGTCAGTTTAGACAGGTTAATCCTACCACTAGATGTCAGATTAGACAGTTAAATCCTACCACTGGGTGTCAAATTAGACAGTTAAATCCTACCACAGGGTGTCAGATAAGACAGTTAAATCCTAGCACTGGTTGTCAGATTAGACAGTTAAATCCTACCACTGGGTGTCAGTTTAGACAGGTTAATCCTACCACTGGGTGTCAGATTAGACAGGTTAATCTTACCACTGGATGTCAGATAAGACAGTTAAATCCTTCCACTGGGTGTCAAATTAGACAGTTAAATCCTACCACAGGGTGTCAGATAAGACAGTTAAATCCTACCACTGGGTGTCAGTTTAGACAGGTTAATCCTACCACTGGGTGTCAGTATAGACAGGTTAATCCTACCACTGGGTGTCGGATTAGACAGCTTAATCTTACCACTGGGTGTCAGATTAGAC